CCTTCTGACAGGTAGTCACAACTTAAATAAATGTATCTGGGTGGAAAACTGATACAGCAGTGAACACTTGTGTATGATCCCTGATGGAGTCCTTGGATGCTTCACTGATTAATTCATTTCAGCTTTAACCCAGTTGCTTTACCGGCCCTGCTGAAGTTAGTTAAGTTTTCAATTGGCCTGCAATTGGATCTTAATTATCCATCTCAGAGGTATGGGGAGACAATCTGAGCCAACCTGATGACTCACTGTCATGCTAAGCAGGTCACACTTGTCCTAAAGGGTTGCGTAAGGGTAGGGGGAGGGAGTTCACCAGGATGAAGCTAAACTGATCTCTGCTGATCTCAATCAAGCCTCTGTCCAGCAGTAAATCAGATCCTGTGACACAAGTAATCAAAATAGAAATCTGATGTGCAAGTGTCTTTGTGAGCTGAAGACTGTTCCTTTCTTCAGACAGCAGACTGGTAAAATGATGTCTCATGTAAACTGAGGTGGAAACAGTTTTGGTAAGGCCTGCTGTATCAAGCAGATTTTCTGTTCATAGTGAGAACATTGAAAGTACCACAGGAGTTGGTTTTGCTGACAAGTTCTGATACAAGGAATGCCAGCTCTCTCACACATGTTCTGAGTAAACCAAGAGTCTGTGTTTTAGAAGAAATAAAGAAGAAATGAGAAAAGTTGACTGGGGTTCAGCTTGTGCTTTCTGCATTTACATTGGGTTCTTGAGCATTGGATAAATAGATTTTCAAAATCTGAATAAATAAGCAGCCTCTTGACCTCTCCTCCTAGAGGATGTTTCCCTACAGTATCTTCTCCAGGAGCCTTCCTTGCTACCTTGCTTCACAAAATTCCACTCTCCATTCCCTATCAGATAACCAAGGTGAAGTTTTAAATAGGGGAAGCGTGGGGCTGGCTACATAGCCTCATATGGGAGAACTACTCTCCCTTTCCTCTTTTCTTGTCATATGATCAGATGCACAGCCACCACATGCCAAAAATGCCAGCATCCCACATCATGTGAGGGGCACACATGCGGTTCCATAATGGGGAATAACATTCAGCCATGTGACCAGCTCACTCCTTGTCACCTGATGGGAGGAAAGGCTCTGGGGACTTCAGAAATGAGGATAGCGAAGAAGAAACTAACAGAAAAATTAATCCAGCCTGCAACACGCTCCTTCTCCAGCCACCTCCAAAAACACTTTCAAGTGACACTTCCTACTGATGGGCAGCTGGAAGGCTGTCCTAGCAGAAAATGCCTTGGCCATGTCTTTGTCATCACGTGGCTGAACTATAGCAATGTCATAAACTTTGGGAAGAAGCCTTTAGCCCATAGGAAATTCCAGCTACGTACAGAGGGGAGCAGGCTATTATTTCATCCATACAGATTTGTGAGACATGATGTCTGATCCCCCTGTGCTCTGGGTGTGTACTCTAAAGATGTGCAAAACCAGAATCAGGATATAGGAAATTTGGATCGATACCTTCTTCACCATCTGCTGCTCCACATACCTGTCATGCTTTTTGATATAGTCTTCTATAGTATAAACACATAGCAGTATGTTCTTCTAACTTTTAAAAATAAACAAAAATTCCAATAAAAATGTTTCTCCCTATGAAGCAACCTTTCCCCTTCCAGCAGTAGCTTCTTCCACCCTGTCTCCACTGTTCTAGATCAATTCCTTCACCTGTGCATTCTCTGAGCCATCTCTGGTATTGTCTATGGCATGCCTCCTTGGATTCCCATCCCTTCTGTGCAAGGAAAGATGATATCTTCATTTACATTTTTTGGGGTGGTTACAGGTCCTAGCTGAACAAGGTGCAAGGGGCTGGACAAGCACTAAGTGGTATGGCTGATGCTAACAAAGAGGAATGCACCTCAGCAAATCCACTCCTGAATGCCTCATCTGGGATCAGATCATGCGATGGCCTCAAGCTTGACATAACTAGAGCATAGATAGGAAAGTTTATATATTTGACAATTCATTCAGAATGAATCTTACCTAGCAGGCTATGAGGACCAAGACAGAAGCCTAAGCACATACAACTTTCAGGTAACCAGTCTTTGCATCAGGTAAGATCCTTCTCCTCCTTCCAGCCTCTTGTCTCCATCACAGTTTTATCTGGAAGGGGACTATTTTGTGTTCTTTGTATGACAGGTAGCATGGAGAAATCTTTGTCCCACCACAGAGGCCTCTGAGGTAATAAGTACAACGATGACAGTGATATGTATTGAACGAAATCTATTGTGCTGGTCCCATTACTTTGCACGTCCCGGGACAAGCAATGGGAGATGTTTGGGAGCTGCTGCTTTAGCAAACGGCAATGCAAGGATGATTGCTCCTTTGGGGCCTTGTTATCTACAACTTTTGCCACCTCAGTTCAGTAAATTTTTGAACGGCGTTTCCCTGCCAGACCATTGCTTCTCTGAACTCACAAGTGTCTGTTCTGTCACCCTGTGAGCTACCTTCCTCGTCACGTCACAGCGTTTCCCTTCTGACCAAAAACTGATCATGGGTTCAGGCTGACCTCTGCAATCCAGCCACTGAGCTGCACTCGGAGCTGTGAGAGAGGGGCATCAGCCAAGCAGCTCCCCAGACAACATGTGCTTTAGCGGGGAGAATTCAGCGTAACATGGGTTGATGTTTCACAGAACAAACCACGTCAGTTCAACAAACCAACCTCATCCATTTCAGGCCATGAATCAAGGTTTTTGCTTGGTCAAGATATTAAACAAATAAATAAATATTCACTATTTCTTAATCACTTTTTTTTTTTTTTTTTTTACAGGAGAAGTTTTGGTGGTTAATTTTTTGTTTTCATTTGAGAACAAAAATGAATGTTGAAATATTAGGATCTCCCAGAATGTCATGCAATGTAGATAATTCTGGTGCGTCATACAGAGTCCTATTACTGTTCCTTCTGATGGGAACTGGTTGCTAGTAACCACTTGGTGAGCTCTGCTGAACTTTTCTGAAGGGGAAGAACAGGCATTATGTCTGTTACAGGCATTATGTCTGTTCCTACTACCCATCACAACCTGGCTTTTGGGCCAGCCTGAAAGGCCAGTCTATGAACTGCAGCATCTGGGCATAGAGGTGCTTCCTATCCTTCCAATTCTGCTAAAAAAGGTGGTGTCTCCAGAAAAGGACCAAGGCAGACATGCCAGATAAAAGCCGTATCTTTGGCTGCCTCAGCAGACGTTCGGTGTACTTGATCAAATGAAGCCCTTGTGCTTGCTGTACTGCTGGACTTGCATTCCAGGAGGGACATCTGATCCCCTCAGGTGAAGGCGATTGCCAAGATATTTCTGTGGTTGGCCTTTAGCTTTGCAAGACAGATGTCTTAGCCCTCTGCTCACCTGGCAGTGTGTGCCTTTTTGTTCCCTGACATCTGGCAGAACTCTGTGGTATGACTTTGTGTAATATAAGTGCGATCGAATACTAATAAAAGAGGAATTTGGGTTTGTGTGGACATTCCGGTACTTAGCTTTTAATATCGGCACAAATATTTCGACTGAGCTGAGGTAGGGTGCTTCCAATATAAAAATAAAATATACCTGAAAAATTCTAATTAATTCACTGACAGTAAGAATGGCCTCTTGATATTTATAAGCTATCCTGACATGCTGAAGTGTTAATGATAATGATCTGCATATAAAATTAACTGAACAGTCAGAGTTTATATCAGTGCTGAATCACTTTTCTATGTGGCACCTTGTGAACCACATTTCTTTTCCGTAGCTGATCATTCTTCTCATGAAATTTTACTGTGGTTTTTTACAGAGAAAGTGGAAAAATCATCATTTGAAGAATACTCACTTCTCAGCTGATCAATCAAAACTACCGAAACCAAAAATGAGACTATATGTTCCAAGAAGCTGTATATTTTATCATTTGATTCCATTATATTATATTTTTAAAGAATTGTCTTTTAAAAAAGTATTCACAAAAATAACTTTTGGGGAAAAAAACCTAAAATGGGCTACTTCAAACTCATAAGCCATTTGCTATTAACATTTTCCAAGTTGAGATCAGACTTACGAGAGCTAACGTAGAGTGTGTTGAGATATCTTAAAGGATAGTACAACAGAGCAGCAAAGTAATATTTCTTACCCACTAGGACACTTAACCACAAACTAATTGAGTCCAAAGTATTCTCAATGAGCTGATCTTAGAGCTGGGAATGAAACTTCAGGCTTCTGGCTCGAAATCTGCCATTTGAACACTATTAAAATAATGAATACAAATAACGGAGCAATAAATAGTACTGTTCCTGTGCCAGGCATACCCAGATGATAGCTGTACTTAGCAAAAAAAGGAGACATTTAATTATATGAAGATTTGCTGCATTACGAATTTCAGCCCTTGATAGCATCGGTGTCTGAAGACAACAGCTGTGCAAGCAGCAGAAAAATTCACTCTCTGCCGTGATGTCTGACCAGAGCGCATTCTTGAAACGTTGTCTTTTGTCAACTGTGTAAGAGGTTGAGATTCCCGAAGAAACAATTATGTGTCCAGCACTTGACAGCCTGTGTTCCAGAGCACGTGTCTTGTGAACAAAGCGAGGTACAAGCAGGCACTGAGATACGGAGATCCCTCCTGTGGGTGTTTCCCACCAAGCTGGGAAGGTAACCCGCATAGCCCAGGTCTCTCTGTTTCACATGGACATGCCACCAGCACCTGAACAGAGCAAGTGCCGGAAAAAAGGGCATTAATATTCTGAAGAACCCCGTGAATGAAAGAGAGCAGCACATGACTGTAGACTTTACTTAATAGCACGAGTATTTAAACCTCTGGTTTTTCTGCAGTAAAACTGTTATTATCCGAACTCTCCATCTTGGTTCCAAATATCTGGATTTTATCAAATTCACCTATTTTTGAGAAATTACAAAATAACAAAATCCATTTAGAAGGAGACAAGGAATAAAATCCTTCAGGAGAGTAACAGTTCCCTTTAAAAACCTGGAATGAGGCTCCGATCTGCAGTGCCAGATTGCAACAATGGCAAAGGAAAAAGTCATCAAGGAAAATGCTGACTTCATATCACACCTGATGGTAACGAACCCAGCTGCAATTTCAGGCAGGGGAACGGTACTTCTCCCTCATCACTTTAAAGTCTGCTCTGTTTTAAAGTTCCTGCTAAATTTGACAATTTAAAGGGGCATTTAATGGAATTGCTCCTTGTACCTTGTGTTATGCTTTAGCTCTGGAAGGAAAACTTGCCAGTTTTGCTGAAGTCATGCCAGGAGCGTGGCAATGTGCGCTATGCGTGATCATCCATTTGGGACAGAAGCGAGATGGCCACTTGCACAGGCCTTTTATAGCCATCTGAAGATCGAATGACCTGCTGTGGTTCTAATCAGGGCTCAGCTCTGCGGCAACTGCCAAAAGGAAAAGGCCAAAGGAGAGAGAGAATTCAAAGCTCACATCATAACAGCAATCAAGCGGGGCCATAGTTACAGGCAAACCACAGAAATGAGCAGGGTAAAAGAATTATCCAACTATCACAGGCACATTAACGTTGGTCGCATTCCAAAGCACTCATTACAGCACTCCAGTGTGGCTCCCTGTACAGCTGGTCAAATAATGCTCATCAAATAAACGATTTGACAAATTTTGCAGAGTTTCAAAAATAAATTATCCAAAAAAGTGTGCCTTTTTAATTATTCCCACAGCTGTATTCTTGCGAATCTAGAAATATGTTCAAACTCGCCTCTTTCCCCAGTTGCACTTTCTGAGCAAACCTGTTAAAATAAGTCTCTGGGTGCACATTGCAGCCTTCCTAAGCAACTCAAAATAGCAACGCAGCGTACCTTGTCCGGCTCTCCTGCGCACCCCTAAGTTTTAATAATAAATCAGCATGTCGGTACACATGACAAAGCCCAGAACCTTGAGGGTTTCTTCCAGACAAGTCAGGCATCCAGTTGTACTTCATCAACACTCCACTGAAGTTAATGGCACCATGCTGATTTACACTGGGTGAAGATCTGCTCCATCATCACAATGACTCAGGTCAATGCACACTGCAGAAAGGGTCCTGCCTAGCTGCCTGCCTGAGTTTGCTTCTCTGTTGTCTAGTACACTGCAGTTTGTAAACACATGCGATCCTGCAAATTTATAATTTCCCCTGATAACCTTGTTTGAAAAAAACCAGAGCATGTATTTATTGAATTTAAGTGATTTTTTTCCCTTTTATTTGTGGAGCCATCAAAATGGCTCTTTGTACATATCAGTATATACTGAGTGCTTCTCCCGAATAACTATAAAATAACAGGTCAGCAAATTTCTCCTAGTTCTTTTGAGTGACTTTAAATGACAACCATGTTTGTACAGCCAAGATTGTGCAGTCATCCCTGAATGCTAGACCTGACTGATCCAGTTCTCCACAGCTCTTGCTTGAAGGCCCTTCAGGTAAGAAATGTGTAGGCCAAAGTAACTAATTTTTTTCACTATGGTTAGGAACAGAGACACAATGGCAGGAAGATAGTTTATTCCCTATAAAGAAACAGTTTAATTTCCTAGCCCTGCTGGACCAACTCCTTCAATAAGCATTGTGTACATTTAATTAACAAAAATAAGTCAATGTAGAAAAAATTCAAAACTATGCAGGTACATTTATTAAATTGTTTGATTTTGATCACAGATTCAAAGCCCTTTTACAAAAGGTCCCAGATATCTGGCAGATCAGCTCTTGCTCTTGTTTCTAACCAAAGCTTCCTTCTCTTGAACAGTGAATTGTCGGTCGATAGAGGGAGGCTTCTGACCATGGGAAGCAGGAGCCTGGCCAGGGCTGGGGCCAGGCTGAAGAATTTTGCTGCCTGGTGAAACAAAAGTGAATGTTCGGTTTTCCTACTTTTAGGATTAAATGCAAAACCCACCTGCTTGGAAAGGTTTGGCTTTTTTTTATAATACTACTCTTCTTGTGATGCATTCATTTAGAAAATCAAGCCAAACTTAGCATTTCCTCATAGCAAGGAAAGAGGAGAAAAGTTTTTATCACTTAGTCACTACAAGGAATGTACAAGCATCAGGGTTATTAGCAAAATTATACTGGAACATCATATTTAGATTCAGAAAGACCTTGGCACGTCACTGGTACGCACTAAAAAAATGTGTATTCTGCACATGCGAAACACACGAATACAAGCCTCTCAAAATTTTTCATCTCTTTTCGACTACTTTTTTTTTAAATTTGACTTGAATCGACTCTGGTTAAGTGAGGAAAATGAAGAGATGTGCACTACTATTTCTTCAAATCCAGAGCAGGGCAACAGTAAGCCTGGAGACTAGCTTTGGAGATAGATCGATTTTCCTTAATCTAATAAAGTTGAGGGGCAGGGGAGGGTGCCTGTACTGATCCATATCATTCTGGTAGTTCAAGCCCCTCACAAATCCTCCGTCAAAATGGGTGTTAAGCCATGTTGCAGCCCCAGTGGGAAATTAAGTTGTGGGTTGTTCTTAACGATTAGGACAGGAAGAGTGGTGTGTGCTGATGGAGACTGTATTGGTGATTTTAGGCACATGGCCAGTATATATTTGTTAGGATCTGGACAAGATGTGCCAGTTCACTCTATAAAAACCCCTGAGCAGTCCAAGTAGTTCAGTAAAGTCAGTGGAAAACTAAGCACAAGGAAAAAAGGGTTCAGAAACAGAAAGGAGTAAAGATGAAAATGTGTATCTAAAATGGAATCAAAATGTTAAAAGCAGAAGTAAAAAACAGAAGAGTGTTTTGACCTGTCTGATTCTGTACGGGTTGCAAGAGTTCTTAAAGCACAAAATCTTAGGCATTTAACCTTTCTTTCTCTTTCCTCAGCTGTGCATTTTTTCACCTTTTTATGTCTTGCTACACAGGAGTGGATTCCAACAGCACTTTTATGATCCAAGGACAAGGCTTCAATTCTATCAGAATATTCAGTCTTTAAAACACGGGAGAGGGAGGGAAAGAACTGTTTCTTTCCAGATGCAGAATTACCATCTATTTTGATTTTTATAGGCCAGCCTTGAAACACAAAGGGCATGCTTGCATCCTACAGGATTGCAATTTGGGACTTGTAGAGCCAAAGGTTGCAGCCCTTTTGGGGGCTCTCTCATCTTGCTGTTCATGTACGCGAATCGGCTGGACGTGGGGTAAGGAGATCTGGGCTCAGGTGTAGCTGTCACGCAGTCTCAGGAGTCTTCCTAGAAGCCAAGGGCAGTGCAGCAGCGTTTCTGGTGGTTCTCAGCTAAGTGGTAAGTCACTGCAGGTGCAACAGCTGCTGACACAGCTCCATGGGTGAGGAGGACTGTGAAAAGCTTTCCTTCCCTGAGCCACCTACACGAGTCCTGAGACGTAGAGAACAGAGCTGGAGAGACACTTATTTGGGGCAATGAAGAAGTCAACAGGAAAAGAAGGCAAAAAACCATGCCAAAGGTAAACGAAGCAGAGTAGGTGTGAGCACAGATGCTAGAGAGGTTGTTAGGGAAGAAGACTCATCGAGATCCTAAAAAGGCTGAGAGACAAATGAGGAAGCAATGGACATAAAGAGAAAGAAACTTCGAGAGAGCACTATAAGAAGGCAGTACATCACAGAAAATGTGCCGTAAGAGCAGCTGAGTGGGTGAATAAGGGCATTGGGCCAGTGCTGAAGAGGATGAAAGCAAAAAGAAAACTACACTCACATCAAAATATCACTGATGCAACCAGTGAAGTCATTGAACATGAGGACTGGGCACCACAGGGTGAGGGAGAAGGAGGTAGACAGATAAAAAATTCAGAGAAAGAAATTAGAGAAATTGGGAAAGGAGCAAGGAGGAGGTCCATCAACAACAATCAGCCAGGACCCTCAGTGCAGTAGTTGAGTCAGTCTTGCCATCAGGAGAGGACTTGGTCTCAGTGACAGGGAGCAGGACCAAAGAGAGCCTGCAAGGTCTAAATGAACATTTTAACTATCAAGCAGGGATTTGAGAGGAAGCAGACGGAGGGAAGAGGGAAGAGGCATAAAGCTGGACAGATTATGTCAAGGAGAAGGAGAGGGTGTAAGGAGAGCCTGGTATTTAGAACCTGCATATTTCTTCCTTGAAATGATAAGGCAATATATTTTGGAGAGATTTATACTTTGTGGACGGTAAAGAGGCTGTAGATGATCTGTCTCATGCAAGTTACGTTTGAGCCATTGGTGTCAGGTGGCACAGGAAGGGTTAAGTTCAAGTCCCACCAAGCGGCTGTACAGCTGGTGAAATGCATCTGTCAACAGAACTATTACTGTCATCCCCAGATCAGCACAATGTCCTTGACTCTGGACGTCAACTAAGAGGCATTAGCTGTCAAGCTCTGGTGGGAACAGAAAGGTTACAAGACCACTTGGATCAGCCCAAGGAGTAAAACCGTCCCTCCTTATCCAATAGTGGCTTAGAGATGCAGGTGAAGTGCAGTGTGATGGAGTTACTCCAGCACCTTTTCCCTTTGGAAACCTAGATTTAAACACTCCCTTTCAAACAGGCAAGGAGAGGGACTCCGGTTATCGTCCTTCATAGCCCCCATTTATGCGCATCACAAAACTGTTGTGTAGTTTGCGGGGCGCAAAGCCTGCGCTAGACACGGAACGGCTCAAGGCTGGAAGTGGGTGGGAAGCAGATTCGGAGGGGGGACCCCAGGGGTGGCACAGCGGGGGGGAAAGAGGCAGCGCGGGACAGAGGCTGTAGGGCTGCAACAGTGAAGAGCTGCAGGGCAGGACTATGAAGTTTGTGCTTTTAACCATAAGAAGATGAACACAGGCATTAAAAAGTTCTCCTTTTTGAAGTAACTGGTGGCATTCCCGTTGCCTTCAGCAATGCTTTTTTATCATTTTATTTACAGCGCAGTCACAGTAACAACAGAGGTAGAGGGCTCTTAATGTCACATTTCCCTGAAGGGATGCGAAGTCTTAAAGCTAAGATTTCATTAGTGAACAATTTCATTAAACCTCCTCTGATGATATATATAGACATACAATCCAGTGTTGTTCAATTACCAGGCAATTACATCCCATCTTGGCTGAAATATTATCTAAATTGCATTTTTAAAGGGGTGATTGACAGTGGAATGGCAGCATTTCCCTCGATACTAGGATCTGGCAGCGTGGAAGGGAGATGGGAGAGCTACGGAGAGACAGAGGAAGCAGAGAACAAAGGCAGAAAAGGTGAAAGAAAAGGGAAAATAACCAGGTTCTCTTTTTTTTTTTTTTTAATTTATTGTAAACTGTTAATCGTGGCAGCACGTTGTTCAGCTTGTAGAAGCGCCTCCCCTCTTGCTCCTCTAACTTAGCCCCCCCCCGTGTATTTTTTTATTTTCTTTTGAGGCAACCTGCATTAGCAAAACATTTTTGCATTACTTAAATCGGGGACAACCCCCCGCTGCGCGCGGCGCAGGGAGAGCACTCTACCCCGTGGTTTGTCTCCGGGTTCTGCAGATCCCGCGGCGCTGGTGAAGTTCGCTCAGTCCTGGCAGCAGGTGGAAGCTCCCAGCCCCGCAGCAGCTGTGCACAGCCTTGATCTTCAGGTTTTCACACACAGTCCTCAACCTCCCCTGCCCAAGCCTCCTTTCCCTGTGGTTTTTTTTTTTTTTTTTTAATGCGGAAAGCAGTAACCCTCTGGCCCGGCTAGCCCCCCGCTATCGGATTCCACCAGAGGAATTCTGGGCACGAAGCTTCACGGGGCAAACAGGTCTCCCGCCCTCTCTAAATGTCTCCCCCCTTCCTCCCTCCCTCTCTCTCTGTCGCTGGGAATCCACCCTTATCCACTGCAGCGGGGACGATATTTTTGAATTGTGTTTATTTGTTGGCACCCTGGTGTGAAAGCGCTTCCCATCAACTGCATATTAATCTTGTCAGCAGTTTGTGAACATTTTCCTCCCTCTCTGCCCTAACTAATTTATGACTTTTGGGTCTCTTGCTCCCTTCCATCCCTGCCTCTCACTGTAATTAAAGAGAAATTAATCATCCTGATTTTTGCTAAAGTGAGTCCAACCCTGTCAAAATGGTAAGAAAGGGACTACTTTAGCCCTAGGAAGAGTGAAGTTAGGAAAGCTGTAAATTGACTTTTAGAAAAACCTAGGTGGTGATACAGGTATCTAGCCGTTACATGTTCACATGGTCTTTGAAAGTCCTGGGTCGTTTGTGCCTGCACTTTTTCCATTGATCCATAGCCACTGGTTGGAACCTCTGCCGGGTTTTCCTTATCTTGAAATCCCCAGGGACACTGCAAATTTTTTTAATGCGGAAAGCAGTAACCCTCTGGCCCGGCTAGCCCCCCGCTATCGGATTCCACCTGTGTTCTCCGTTATCCTGAAATCTTTCAGGCCATTATATTCAGTGATACAGCCTTTTATTCACTATACCCGTTGATACATTAATACTTCTGTTACTTGATTACCCAAACATTCCTGGGCATTTTTTGCAATCCCAGACTCCTGGTCCCTATTTCTTAGGTACATAGCCCACAGTGATTTTTATTTCAGGGTGGTTTCGGGGAGCTGAATTGAATTTAGTTGCACTGAGCAGTCTTCTTCAGGAAAAGGCACTATTAGAAGCCCTCTGGCTGATGGGGGCAAGTGGAAATGGTGCGATGCTGTTAATGCACGGGGACATTGACTAGTTGGAGTTATAGAGGAGGTAACGGAGAGTGCCCACCGCACAAGGAGTGCACATCCCCACCCATCAGAGAGGACAGAGGTCTCCCCACCCCCTTGGCAGGGTGGAACTAGCAGAAACCCTGGGTTTTTTTTACTCATTTGCTGGTCACTTCTGATGAGCTGCTCCAGCCTTTCACTTCCTTGGGCTAGCGAAGATTCACATGTCCACATCAGTGCGGACCCAGGTGGGTCCTGGACCCACTACCAGAACACTCAACTATAGGATGCTTTTGATAAACTGCCAGCTTGAAATAAGCTCTAGCTGGTTAAAAGTGCAGCTGCTTGCTTATATAGCACCCCAGGCTATATTTACCATTTAGTTCCCCAGGAACCTGGCTAAATAGCCCAAGCAAATGCAGAGCTTCAGGCAATACCTTCTAGTTCCTCTAGGGTCAGAGCCCCAATCATCTGGAAAACTCAGCACGTGTCTCAGTCTTCCAGATCTACAACACAGATGGGCATAATTCAGAGAAGCCTCTGAACTATGCCCATCTGTGAGCTAATTATGTCTTCTGTGGCTGTTTGGCATTCATACAATGGTAGTTACTCTCAAACTTTACCACCTACATCAGGGTGTGACTTTTGCAGGAACCTAGCCACTGTGCCATTACAATTCATACTTTCCTTACTTCAGCAGCAGATCACTGTTACGGGCTAGGGAGGTGGCTATACTTGAAAAAAAAATCTGCAGAGATGGGAGTGTGAAGTGAGTACTTGCCTCCTCAAGGAGCATCATCCTCCTGAGACCCCAGGTCCCCAGGGCCCTGGGATTTCTACCACACGCCTGTTAGACTTCAACGTTTTCCCTTTGATCTAAAATAGCCAGGACCAACCTGCATAAAGCGTCCCCTCTTCCCTGCATCCCATCCCCACTGAAGCTAGGGAAGGTGCTTTGACAAATCCAGACCCAGAATTTTCAGATCTCATTTTATCTTTCCTCCTTTGTGGTGTCCAAAATTGCCCAGATCTGCCTGCCTTTTTGGGACGCCATTTAAATTGTTTATATGATTAGTGTTTCAGGAAGAGGGTCAGCTATAGGATAGAAGGGAAGGAAGGAGCTTTTATCTGGGTGAAGAAAAGTGGACAGTGGTTTGGATTTATAGTGTTGGGCTGTCAGAGTAAGAATACTTTATGATGCTGGCTGACAGACATTTTGTAAAAGTTTGATATTGCTAAGTACTTTATCACTGCTGTGCTTGCATTTCTGTTATTTTTACACAGCATTTCACAGTGGGCAAATAGACATCATCCCAAACTGAGAGGTCAATGGCTTGGCTGAAAAATTAGCAACTTTCTTCTTGGTGACTGACAGTAAACTCAGATTTTTCTCTTTGTAGGCCAGGTTTTTCTACCACACAGCGGAGCTGTCTGCTTCAGGCAAACTCTGCCTCCCTGGGAATATCAAGAGAAAGATCGTGCTAAGCATTGAAAAGTGCAGCAAGGTGAGTAATCTTCCACTGGTTAAAAACTAGAAATGCAACAGGCAGAAGACATGACCCTCTAGATTCTATAAATTCAACTAATTCCATAACTCAGCCTCCTCCTGCATAGATTTCATTTGCTCCTTGTCCAAATACTCATGTCCTCCCTCTGCTGACATCTCCACATCCTTCCCTTCTAAGCTCTGATAGTGTCTCTGCTACCATATTTACACCAGTTGCAAGTGTGCCACTTTGTTATTTATGTCAGCGTCACCCTGGCTGGCATTAGTAAGGCTTTGCGTACCCCAGGGCTGCAGCTATTTCTCTTATTTATGTTAATGAGTCCTGCATAAAAGGTTTTGCCCAAGTCAAAAAAAGTGTAAAATTGATGACATAATTGTGGGAGAGTCTACGGGAATATTGAGGAGGATTAGGGTACTATCAACAAATCAGGTTTTGAGTATTGTTCCGCTAGGCAAGGAGTGTTTTCAATTAATTTGTAATTAAATAAGGGAAGCAATTTAGTGAACTCAGAGAGATATTCCAGCAAACGGTTTATCTCATCAGTCTGAACCTCACATTCCTCCAGAACAGGATCATTGTTTAGATCTTGGGCATGTTATATGATCTGACCTATAGGAGTAATTTAATAAAACATCAATATTTTCCTTCTATTAACCCTTAGTGTCATGCTGAATGGAGAGAGCTGCCTCTGCCTCCCTTCACAGCCCCCATTAGATCTGCACCCTCTCCAACTGGTTGGACAGGTGTTATCACTAAGCAGTCTGGGGCTTTCAAACATAGACAAACCAGACACATTCTCCAGCAAATTTGCAGCGCAGCAGTAATATAGGGAGAAATGGAGATGAAGCAAGGGAGGGACAGATAGAGAGGACAGAACGATGAAGAGGAAACACACACGGCTTACACAGCGGAAAACGTAGTGTCGCTTGAAGAGATTTCCAACTAAGATGATGGGATTTGCTCATATTTTCTCAAAATGTTCCTTATAAAATCATTTCTTCAATCAGAGCCAGAAGTAAAAGGTAGTTTAAGAGGACCTGAGAAGAGATGAGCAATTCCAGATGGGGTTCTATGCATGAATATATTCAGGGCAGGCAGAGCAGGGATTTGTTGATTGCTTAAAGGGCTTAGTGCAACAGCTGGGCACATTTTGTGTATGACCAAAAATAAGAGTACAGATGAACACCGATGTCCAGACATCTGGCCTTACAACTATTGTTCTTGGCTTTTTTTTTTTTTTTTCTCATAGCCAGAGTTATTCCATGGAGCAGATTGAGGGGGGAAAAAAACTATGACATGAAGGAAAAGGAGCCAAGAGAAGAAATTTAGGAGATAATTAAGAAGTAGAGTAGGAAAGAAAAACAAAATGAGGTGCAAAGGGACTATAAGGAGACAGAGTATGAGACGAAACAGGTACAGAACTGAAGAATAAAGATGTTGGGGACATGGAATTAGAGGAGAAGGGAGTGAATGAAGTAGGAGAAGACAAGACAAGCAGAGCGGTGAAGAGAGTACTATATCATAACTATGTTGTTAAAGACTTACTGCAACCTCTGATAAAAGAAAAAAGACATGGACACCTTTGATATAGGTTTCTTCCATTTCAAGTCTCTTTTCACTTAAACTTCTCCCACCCTCTCTGTCCCTAGCTTGCCCCAGTCATTGTCATGTTCATGATGAAACACTTGTCTGGAAAATTCAACTTGAAACATTATGAACATTTAAATTTTTGTTCATATTGAACACGTTCTGATAAATTTATTTTAGAAGATGTAGTGTTACTAAAGTTCAAAAGGAAAATGCCGTCCTGTCAGAAGGAATGCCTTTTGAGTCAGGAGTGTTCCTCTTTCTCTCCTTGTGAAAACTATCAAAGCTTGGCCAAGTTGGAAAGGTCTCATTTTGACATGCACAGGTCAAAGCTGCACAGCCAAAGTCACCAAGGATTTTGTGCATGCGTTGCATGCATAAGAAGTCAAGTAGGTTGCTTCTTATAGACACTGCTCCTAGAGTTAATAGTGGTAGGACAGACTCCCTCAGGATTGCGATGATCTGCAACTGGCACTCAGAAAACATGGAGGAGAGGACCTACTGAATGGAAGTGAATGTGGAGGAGAGAGAGGAGGAATAAAAACCAGTTCAGCATAGAAATTGCAAACAGGAGTTGTTTGGCTGATGCTCAGGGCAGGGATCTGAGGAAAAGGGAAGGCTACATTCAGAAGAAAAGAGGAGGAGGAATCTGAGGAGGAAAGACTCAGCTTGAGGAGAAGGCTGGAGCCACAGGCTGTACTGTAAATGTGTCAGATGAAGAGGTGCGGCAGGAGAGAGATCAATTCTAGTAGGAGTTGTGTCCAAGGTAAAGGAGTTGGTCTAGATAAACGCAGGGGCTGGAGAGGGAGCAGAGAGTAAGAAAGACAGAAAAGAGGGCAAATGGGAAAGGTGAACGAAGAGAAGCTGGAGTGGTACAGGCAACAGAGACTGCAAGAAATGCAGGTAGGGAAAAATTATTGTAACTCAGAGTGTCAGAGAAACGGACTGATCAGGGAACTAGTCCATGCTGGTGACACAAATCAGAGAAGGGAGTCAGAGACAAGCTGAGCCAAGAAACTGGGGCAGGGGTGTGGAGAAGGGATTGAACTACAACATTTACCTAAGTAAGGGGGAAAGACAGAACTGCAGCAAGGACCAGGGAACAGCAATGGCACACAAGGATCACAGCTTGTTTGGCGCTGGCAGAGGGGATCCCCTTTGATCATAGTCCCCATCGGAACAGAGTCCACATCTCACCGCTCCTTCCCTGCCATGGAGTCTCTCTGAAAGCCAACAGTATGTGGTAGTAAGAATTGTATGACCTCATCTCTTTTTAATGCTCATTCACCTACCAAATAGCAAACCTCTGCTGTTACCAGTTATTCCAGTTAGCTCAAGTGACAGGGGTTGCTGAAAGTGATCTTAAGTTATCAGTTGTGGAGTTAAGAATGTCAGTGTGATCCTACATAACTGGTTTATTTTTCCTCGAGTTCACCTTTCCTCTTTGAGGCCTAGAACATAAACTCAGAAAAATATTTTAAGAGAATACTATTAAGCTGTTAAGGTCAAAGACTTTAAAGTTGTTTAAAATAAGGTCAGTATTGTGAGGCATGCATCATGCCAAAAGTATGAGATTACGCTACTGTAAGGATTTAACTCTGTTTTTCTTACAATTTCTCCTGTGATGCTGTATTAATTTCTATTTTTTATCTAACAGTAAACTCAATGTCCCATTTGATTTTTAGTACCCTGAGACACAGTGTTCAGCATATCTGGAAATGGTTCCAACAAAAACATAATTGTTTGTGCTCTTTTTCAGCTACACATCCTGCAGAGAAATGCCTATGACAAGAAACATCTCATACAGCTTTTGGGGGTTCTCTCCTTCTCTAGAACCTCCTCCTTTCCCACTCCAGCAGCTGTGGTTCACCCTGTCCCTCTCAAGCTCCTAGAAGTAGGTGCCTTTAAGCTATACAGTGGTCTGGGTACTTTGAAGTTAAATACTGCTTGAAGAATCGGATCATATTTTCCAATTTCCATTTAGTAATGGCTCCTTCTCTGAGTGTGGCTCAAGCAAGCCCAGCTTCTCTGCCCATACCTGAAACAACCACGTGCTGCTATGTCTAATTTGCCTCAGAAACCTGGAGATTGCTTTCCTTCTGGAGAGACCAGGCAGGACTGGGTTACAGAGCAACACGAAACTTCAGGCACATAAGAATTGCCTTGGTTGTGGTGCTGGGGTTTTGTATTTATAGGCTGCCCAACTCCAGGCGTGGAATGCAGCCATCGACTTTTCTCGTTTATCTTTGTTTTGGTTGCACCAAAACCTATAAATGAAACAGAAACCCCAGAAAACAGTTTCTGAGCTTAACGCTGCTGAGCTTTTGCCCAGCATTACAACCTCTGGCTTCCCCTCAGATAATTATGGAAGGACCAGAGGCTTGATCCTCAGTCATATATGAATTTTCTCCTCTGCAGAAGGGGAAAAAACAGTTCTTAAGAGGAGCCAAACAAGACCAGAGGATGTGCTGTAGGAAACAACAATGCATGGAGCCCAAGTTCTGGATTAGGCATGGCCTGGTGGGCATCATTTGCTTCCATTACAGATGACAAAGCCATAAGAAGCCATTGTGATCATCTGCTCCAGCCTCCTGCATAATGCAAGGTATAAGACTTGCCTAAATTAGCTTATCTTAGAGCTATAGCATCTGTTACGGGAGGAAAAAAACATCCAGTCTTGCCTGGAAGCTTTCCAGAGAAGGGCGTTCATCACAATGCTCGCTAATTTGCCCCATCCTTTAGCTGCATTCCACGTTAAATATATGGGGGGGCCTTGTTTCCAGTCTGAACCAGTCTGTCTTCACCTTCGCCCACTGCATATCATCATGTGTTTGTCCGCTGTACTGAAGAGGTCCGGTCCTCAGTCTGCCGTACCTGTCACATTTGAACAGTAGAATGACTCCACTGAATGGTGTCATCTCCGTGGTGCAGCTCCGTGGAAGACCATCAACTTGAGCACCAGTCATGAATGACCCCTTGTCTCCTTACCAAGCGTTGCAGAGCATCGCTGAGAGAGCCTATTTCTTTTGAAGCCCATGGGGACTCCTAGCGGGAAAGACACAATGACTTGCAAAATAGTGAAAATTGTTTATAATCAAAGTGGTCACTTATAAATAGCTCTCGCTCGTTGTCATGTGGCCAGCTTAATTAAGTAGCACAGAGCGTGTGCGGTCACTCACCTCAGATAGAAAAATCTGTATTGGGCCTTCGCCCTAATGTGAATTTCCTGACCTGACAGATGGGGATTGAGTGTCTGTTTATGCCAAGCGTAGTTTGCTAACATTTTTCCTCTAATTACTAATTATACCAGTGAAAGGGGCTTTACGCCAGAGTCCTGAAAATGTGAAACTTGATCATCAGAGATTTGCAGGAAAGATGGAAGATTGATGGGTGACATCAAACAGCTGACA